AAATGAATATTAGGTATGTCTTCATAATTTATAATAAACATCAATATCTTACTAATTTATTTAAATTATTAATTTTTTTATTTTATACTTAGATAGCTAGAATTGTTGTAAAGAAATATACTAATAATTGACTTCAACAATTAACTTCAGAATTTATTTTTAGAAAATAAAATTCTTTTAAATGAAAATAATATATAAATGAAAATAATAATTATTTAAATTAAAAAAGTAATCAGAAATTAATAATATTTTTTATATTCATTAATTTATTATATTTGATAAAAACAATATTAATAAACAAAATTTTATAATAATAAAAATATCAAATTATTGCCATACATTTATTCGTTAAAAATATTTGTTCAAGCAGAAATATTTCCTCTATTTTCAATAATTCAAAAATTCATTTCAAAAAAAAAAAAACATTCACTAATAAAAATAAAAAAAAAATCATCGAAAATACAAAATAATATTATTTTTGACACATAATATGAAAACTACTTTTATTTTTAAAATTAAACATCTGAAATCATAGAATTTTATTTATGACAAAAAAATATTATTAATATTTTTAATTGTAAAATTTTGGTTACATACTTATTTTAGATATACAACATCTACATTATTTTATCTTTACATCTTTATAATTAATAATTAATAATCTTATACATTTACAACATTTATATCTTTATAATTCATATATTTTCGAAAATTATGAGATACATCTTTTTTATATCATAAATTCGATAAATCGATTTTGTATTGATAAATCAATTAATTTTATATCTTTTATAATGATTTTAAATTTTTTAATTTTTTTTTTACATTCTTTTTTTCGTTTTTTGGTTAAAATCTAAAATTATAGGGTGACTTACGAATATAAGATATATATATAAAAAGAAAGAAAAAATATCAAAATGTATAATTAATAACTAATACAAGTAAAAACAAAAAGCAATTAACAGAGACAATACTTGAAGGAATTAAATCTGGAAGCGCTCTGCAAAGTAGATTTAAATTGATTCCTGATACTCATTTGAATGGAGAAACAGTCGCCGCTATTCAAGATATGAATCTCGGTAGAGTACGAGATGGAAAAAGTGTTGGTAAGTTTATAGAGAATATATCTAATTTAAAAAAAAAATTAATTTAAAAATTATTTTAAATTAATTTACATTTCTATAGGCGCAGCTACTATTCGTTTCGATAGCGGACAAAAATCAGCATCTTATATTAATATCAATCCAAAAGGTAAGCCTAAAGTATCAGATCCACATATTCAAGTTTCAGAAGGAGTGATAGAAGGAGCTAAAATTATCAATAAAACCTTAAAATATGTTGATACGAGTTTAACAGTGGCTGCGGTAATAATTGATTCCTACCATATTGGTTGTGCATTTAAAGATAATTTGTATATTCGCGATAACGCAAAAAAAAATAATATTGGATTAGAGGAAACTATTGAAAAACTAAAAAAAACACTTAAAATTGAAACTGATTCAAGCAAAAGACAAGAAATAAGAAATGCTATTAAACATATAAAAGAGATTTTGAAAGATGTAAAATGTACAAGAAAAGTCCCGGTTAAAACAGTTTCAATTACCGGAGATTGGCTTGTCAGTGTAATATGTGGCTTTGGTGGAATATGGATTGGTACAGAAAGAGCACTATGATTGGAATTATATGTGGTGGCCCAGTTGGTGCAGCGATTAGTGCTCCAATTGGTGCAATTATTGATGGAATCGGAGGTAGAATTATAGGTGGTTTTATGGGAAATGAAGGTAGTGAAATCAGCGAAAAATAAAGATAGAATATAAGATCAATAAATCTTAATGCGATAAGTGATCAAAACAGAAAATAATTAAAAATAATAATTAAAACAGAAAATAAAATTTTTGGATTTATTATTTTATAAATTATATTGTTTTATAAATTATAATGTATGGTGATGTAGATAAAATAAGATCAACAAGCAAGAATTGTAAATTATATTTATTAAAATCTTTTCTTCTGTTTTTCTTTTTCGTTTTAGTTCGAAAAATATTATGTCATATTCTTACTTATTTTATTATTATTATTTAATATGAATATAAGATTATAATCCTGATGTTTATGTATATATTTTCTTGGAATTATAAATAAAATAATATTTTAATAAATTTTTTTGAACAATATTATAGATTTATAAATAAAATATAATTAATAAATAAAAATAAAAAATATTAAATATTAAAATATTAAAATATTAAATAAATAATATTTAATTATTTTTCTTGAAATAAAATCATAATTCGATATATAAAATTGTTATTTACAAATAAATCTAAAATTAAAATTAAAATATTTATAAAATTAAAATAAAAATTAAAATTATTTAACTTTATCCTACATTATTCAATATATCCTATATATTATATATAATCATTAAGCGAATTTTTTAGTGATTATGCTTGAAATTAAATTTAAATAAATATTGATTGATTGCGCCCACAAGCCATTTCTCCAGGAGGTAGATCCAACTTATTCCGTATTGCTTAATAACTGGAGACAGGATTTTTCCGAATTCAAGGCGATAAGACATTCGCTTTCCTTCGTAGGGAGAAGTACATTACACAATACCAGGCGGGCTAAGCCAATATGGGGTATTATCTTCGTGGCGCTATCATTTTGATAATGCACTAGTTGTCATTCAGATAAGCCGAGATAGGCTAATCTGTTTCTCTTGCTTGTTATTTAGATTCAATGATAATTCATTGTTTTTATGTACAGGAAAGGATCTTGCCGTTAGCTGTTTGATAATGCTAGCGATTTTTACGCACGAGATATCATCTGTTTCAAAATATATATATAAATATATTTGCATATCTCTATCTATTGTAGAGGAGAAAGTTTTAATCTTATATTATTATCAGATTATTTTCTTGCACAATACCTATTGACCTGTGCCACTTGTTTCTGTGTCATAATTATTATAAATATTCTTTGTTCAACGTTGTTAGAAATGCTGGAATATTTGCTAAATTAGCTGATATTGTCCAAAATGATTCATTTTGATTTCTCGCAAATTTCTAGTATTGTAATCAATATATTAATCGAAAAAATGGTCCGGAATCAAAAGATTCAGATGACTATAGGCATCGGATGGCAAAAGGTGAGAGTCAAGAATATGCCTAATTTATGGAAATCACTTTGCGTGCCTATAAAATTCCTTCCGTTATCTGAAAATATTGTTTTGCATAATACTATGAATTATGAATCTATGCAGATAATTTAAATTTAAAAATGTCTCTCTGGAAAGATCCACAGCTAATTCTAAGTGTATGATCTATTCTAATTTTGATTCAATGATCTATTCTAATTCAATTCTATTCTAATTCTATTCTAATTCTGATTCAATGATCTATTCTAATTTTAATACTAAGTGATCAAGCATACGAGAATGCATATAAATAACACTACGCCCTTGCTATAGATTATCTCACATGTTAGGAATGCATAATCGAGACTGCAAGTGGAAAACAGCTGCAGATAACTGATTCGTTACACATATTAAGAATTATGATCTTGCCTTAAAGCACTTTATGCATTTTTTTATGATTTTGACCGAGGATTTGGAGACTATGGATCATATCGCTTCTGCAATAATGCTTGGATAGTAATACATAACAAGATGTCTTTTCTGAAGGATGCATTTATCAATCTACTATATACTTTACTACTATAACTTTCAATCTATATAACTTTATCTTTATTTAAAAATATATTTAATGGGAATAATTTACTATATTTTAACAGCGTCTTATCTATTCTTAGAGACGATAATTCGGTTGAAAAGGATTTCTTTTGAGTTCTCTCTAATATAAGGCGTTCTAATATTTTGCGAGTTTTAACAATCAAATTGCTAAATTCTCTCTGATTTTTCAAATTTTTATTGTTTTCATGTGCGAATTCTTACTAAATCTAACACAATAAGTTGTAATAAAGCAAATTCATAAAGTATCTCTGCAAACATCGTTTTCTTTTCCACAACATGTTAATTTTTACCTCTCTTTTTACCTCTGGTATAGTTGTCAATTTATTTGCTGAAATTGACCATTCATAAGCACTTTCTGCTAATCAAAAAAGCCCTGATCACAGGGCGTTAATTTGCAGAAATTGAGAATACATACCGCGAGATATAAGAAGGGATTCTTGTACGAAATTATATGATGCTATGTCCGATAATGACATGCGTCTTCTTTTCCGCAATCCTATTAGTCACGAAGGTTTTCCACTAGTTGAGTAAATCGTTTATCCACGCAAGCATAATAATGGAATCTGACTAATAACACTGTCTGAAGTCAATATGGTTTTAATTCGACATTAATTGCATAAATAAAAATGCACTACAAATCTCTAATTGAGAAAGAAATTATGAAAAAAATTGATTTGAATGGAGCCATTCTAGATTTCGCATAGAGTAGCTATACTTCTTATTTATCTGCTCATATTGGCGAGCGCACGTAAATGTATATAAACTTTTTTGGAAGCATCGAAAAAATCAAATCTGTGTCCTGTTAATACGTGACATGGAATTTTGTGAACTGTTAATTGTTCCAAATCTGATCAAAATGAAGAAAAAAATAACAAGAATAAATTTCATGAGGGATCATTTCATCCTAACTGAACTTTCCATAGACATTGTAAAAGAATTTTTGCCTAGATAATTATCGATTCTACTAATTCTAATGAATCATAATCTATGTTAAGATAATATCACTCGTTTAATCACTCCTGAATGTGTGCTTGTAAAGTAATGGAAAATCCTTATTTGGAGAATCCTTTTTATTATATGAAAGCTCATTATTGATGATCGATCATAATAAATCCAGTATTTTGTGATCCTTTTTGATTGCTATTTTTATCTGAGCAATAATATTTTGAAAATCAACTAAGGCGATTGAACAATTGAAAATCTATTTTTACAAAGAATCGTGCTAGAATGTTTGACATTTGCCGTTATTTCTGCCGTCATTTCGAGATAGAATCCGCACCCGTTAACCAGTCATCGATAAAACTTCCATTATGATCTGATTAGAAAATTAATGCACCGAATTCCTATTTCTCGCAATATGTGTATAGCTAGAAATGATGCAAAAAATGCGGTACTGTAAGTGAACGTGTGAACTCATATGCTTATTGGTGCAGCTTTAATACTTGGCGATATATTTTTTTCTATATTCGCTGACATGACATACTTATATTGATGAAACCGAAGTAAAATAAAGTAAATTGTCTTGAATGATCGATTCTATTATCTGACGATCATTTAATGATATTTCACGATAGGTCCGATGAACATCTTACCGATCCATTAAATAACATAAACTTTAGTTGTCATTCTGCTAGTCTTAAAGATGACATAGTGGGACAGGTAATATGAGTGATTTTCCTTATTTTGAGGAACAATTAACCAAACCATATGTTCTAATTTTTCATATTCTGCTATGAAATCTCTATTGTATTTGTTTGTATAATTGCTTAGCTAATTTCCTCTCAATTGTCTTTCCATTTGTTCGTAAATAATTTCGTAATTCGAAATGCAATGTCCATCTATTATTTGTTGTGTTTTTCAAGAAATAAGTGTCACAATAATTTTATTCTTGTTCGAATTTTGCAGATATTTCCCGTATCTCTTAAAATTTTGCAAATTGTTTATTCAAATCACTATTTTTAGTTATATAATACCATGGTTAGATTCTTTCACAACATGAAAGTACCGTTGAACAATCAATCAAGTTGAGTTTTTCATCGTAATAAACGAGGTCCGGTATTGATCTACATATAACAATATCCAAAATATGACTATTCCGATAGGCATGTGATATTTTTGGGTATTTTTTTAATTAAATTTTTTTTATTAAATGGACAATCAGCTAATATGTGATGATATTTTTAATATTTTGTTTGTATTTTGTTTTTAATATTTTGTAACTAATGAAAAGTTGGGCAAATCTATAGTAATTTTATCTGATAAGATAAAAGTTCTGCTATTGATAAATTTATTATATCCGGAAAAAATGTTAATAAGCGTTTACGTATGGAATTGAATCTCCGTTACCAAACATTCTATTTTGTTCGCCTGTATTTTATTCCAAGTCTATTATATAATTTCTGAGTAATGAAATTACATTATTAACTTGAATCTAAAGAATTCGGCCTTTTTAATCCGTTTTTTCAATTTTGGTTCAAACAACCGCTATTGATAATATGACATATTCCTTCAACTATGAACATTTGCAATGCAGGATAACGCTAATGGAAAATTCTTTGCCGAATTATTCTTTTCCAATTCAAGATTTTTTATTGAAAAGATTTTGAGTTTTTTTTTTAATTTAAGATTATTTCGATATATGTATAGTATAATAATATATAATAATGTATAGTCGTTGCACCCATATGTTTTACAAAACTGACGCGTACCTTCGCGCGATATAAATAATTATTAAATAATTTAAATAATTGTAATTGATTGATTAACTAATTGTAAATAATTAAAATAAAGTTTTGCATACTGTACTTTTTTTTTGTTTTGTTTTTTCATTTAAACTTAATTCCTTGAATTTTTTGCATTGTGGCAAAGAATGATTAGACATACGGAGATGTTAACTACCGCCGCTCACTCATGGCGCTGGATTCGTTGGGCACTACCGCTGATTTTCGTTAAACATTACTATTGATTATTCACCGTAAAATTCTTCAAATATATAACGCGTTTTTCTAAGAATTCATGAAAATCTTTAAATATAGATTTACACACTAAAA